TGTTCCCGAGATGTGAACGCGTTGCTCTTTCCCTGCCTTTGATTGTCAGTTGGTTCTGGTCCAACAAGATCATCTTCCCTTAAATGGACTTTTGCCTGAAATACATAGGTCAGTGGTTTAAACCCAGATTCAATATGTAATAGCACTTTAATTCTTTCGAGATTGTGGCAGTTCAGTGTACTTGGGAACTATTGATCATTCCCAAGGAGGCAGCCCTTAACTTCTTACTCTCCCAGGTCCAGCATGTGGCTTCCACTGAGCGGTCTCTGCACTCATGTCGCACCCCTGGGACAGCTCCTGAAGCACGCGGTTTACCTTCCTCGCAGCTCTTGTTCTCACAGGGGCTGTGAAGCAGGTGACCGCTGGTTTCTAACCTCAGCTCCATGTGCACCATCTCTCTGTGTCAAAGCCAGATGCATCATCTGCAAGGAGGGAGGCTGGAGAACTAGTTTAAAACATGGTTGTGCACAAAGCCCTGACTCACCACCAGTGACCGATCTGGCCGCTTTCCGCAGCCTGAGCCCTCCTGCTGCTGAGACCCCGGTCATGCGTGTTCCACGTTTGTCATTCCTGTGCTGTACTCAGCCAGGAGCACTTTTTTTTTGCCTCTGGAATTCTCTCTTCATAGAGCTGCCAGAGGCTTTTAAAAATGTAAACCTGCCTGTGGCTTGTGTGTGCCTAAAACCTTTCAAGGCTCCTCACCGTCCTTAGTGGGCGGTTTAGCCAGCTTTGCCTGGCCCAGGACAGGGCTCCAGGGCTGCCTCTGACCAGCCCTCCTCTCTGCAGCTGCCCTTCCCCCCCAGGCCCTGGGAGCCTCGGTCTGCTCCCATTTTCGGCAGCACCACCACTCGGCGTGGCCCTGCCCCTCTGCCCCCTCACATGCAAGCACTTTGCTTAACAAGCTCATCCTTCAGGTTCAGCTCCAGTGCCAATTCCTCAAGAAGTCTCGTCCTGGAAAAAGCCCTGCGGCTGGCTCCCTTCACTCTTTCTGTGCTTGAGGGTGCTCATTTTAAATGCAATAATAATAGGATCGACCTCATAGAACTCGGGCTGCTGTGAGCAGTGAATGAGATGATGTGAGCGGAGCTCCCCGAGCTCCTGACATGGAAAGCAATGGATTTCCTTTGCTTCGAGGCTTCCCACTGTGCCATCCGCATATTTTGTCCTGTGATGACCTCAAGCCTCTGGACAGGATCAGGCCTGACTCACAGCCACATCCCCAGTGCTTAGCACAGAACACTGAGAAGGTGCTGGGTAGATTTTGTGCTGTGAATGAATGGATGTAGTTTCAAAATCTGTATGCAAATCTTTAAGAAAAATAATTGAATTATTAATGAATTAGAGGAGACTCGCTGCATTTTGGTCAGTTATGTCAGAAGGAGCCAGCTTTTCTTGCCTAAATTAGATCAATTAACCCAGCAGAAAATCCAGCCGTTGTTTCCCGACGCTGACCATGACTTCTGACATCGCTGCTTCTTAAGAGCCTGATCCCGTGGGAGCCAGCACAGTGGCAGTGTAGCTGCAGACTCCTTTTTCTGGGCTCAGGGGAGATGTTGAGTAAGCCATTTCATTTTAGGGTTAGCAACTATTATTTGTAAACAAGCAACTGATGTGAGCTGGGCCCAGTCCTTTAGACCCTTTGGCATCAGCTGTTCAGGCTGTTGGCCTCCCGATGAGCCTTTGGCAGAGAAAGTTCATGAGTCAATGGTAAGCATGGGTCTGGTTATCTCCCCAGGAAATCAGTGACCCGGAGATCCTGGATCTGGTCCACAGCGCCCTTGGCAGGATGACCGTGGTCCGTCAGATCTTCCCGTCCGCCAAGGACAACCAGAAATGCATGAGGCACAACCACCGCATCTCCTCCCTGCTCTGCGACCCCCAGGAAGGCTACCTCCAGATGCTGCAGGTCAGTGCCCACCTCCCCACTCCCTCCAGAGGGAGTCTCCCCCGCCCTTGGCCTGCCACCAACTTCAATTACGAGAACTCTGTGTGGTGACATTGAAGCCCGTCCAGGCAGCGTCTCTGAGCAGCGGAACAAGCGGTGATGGCCATGGGCAGTTACGGTCCTATTAGCTCCCTGGGCGCCTCTTGTAGTTAGTTACCTGCTGAGGGAGGAAGGGGCCTCCTGTGTCTCAGGCTTGTGTGAGGACTGTTTTCTCGGGGAGGGTTTGTCTGGCAGGACTGGGGAAGGAGCCTCCTGGGGGGAGTCGCCGTTTTGAACCTGGTTTAGGTTCTTCCCTGTGGGAAGTCAGTAATAGGGACAACTAGGGACTGGACCAGCTCACCTTTTTATACTGAGGCTTAGGTCAACCAGGACGCTGCTGGGGCAGGACCGTCACCTGCCTGCCTGCTCCATTCCTTCCAAGTCCAGAGGGTCAGTCCTCCTAGTCCCTCAGCAGAGGTGCAGCCTGGGCAGGGTGTGGGCTGTGCACCGACCCTGAGAGGGGGCTCTTGCGGATGGTGGGGTAACTGTGAGGCACTGTGGGAACTGTCCTAGAATCTGCTTCTCCGCTGAGAATATCGTGACAAGGAAACTTCCATTTGCTCCTTGCTGGGGGCCAGGTAGCATGAAGAGGTTTCTTCCCCTTGGGTTTGAGAAAACCGCCCAGAGGTTTGTGCAGGCGACATGCTTGCCATTCGGCTTTCGGAACGAGTTACGTCCGCTTCCCCAGCCGGGGTGAGGCGTGGGAGTCAGGCTTCAGGACAGGGCGGGCTGTGTCTGCCACCTGAATGTCAGTCCCACNCACAGCGCCCTTGGCAGGATGACCGTGGTCCGTCAGATCTTCCCGTCCGCCAAGGACAACCAGAAATGCATGAGGCACAACCACCGCATCTCCTCCCTGCTCTGCGACCCCCAGGAAGGCTACCTCCAGATGCTGCAGGTCAGTGCCCACCTCCCCACTCCCTCCAGAGGGAGTCTCCCCCGCCCTTGGCCTGCCACCAACTTCAATTACGAGAACTCTGTGTGGTGACATTGAAGCCCGTCCAGGCAGCGTCTCTGAGCAGCGGAACAAGCGGTGATGGCCATGGGCAGTTACGGTCCTATTAGCTCCCTGGGCGCCTCTTGTAGTTAGTTACCTGCTGAGGGAGGAAGGGGCCTCCTGTGTCTCAGGCTTGTGTGAGGACTGTTTTCTCGGGGAGGGTTTGTCTGGCAGGACTGGGGAAGGAGCCTCCTGGGGGGAGTCGCCGTTTTGAACCTGGTTTAGGTTCTTCCCTGTGGGAAGTCAGTAATAGGGACAACTAGGGACTGGACCAGCTCACCTTTTTATACTGAGGCTTAGGTCAACCAGGACGCTGCTGGGGCAGGACCGTCACCTGCCTGCCTGCTCCATTCCTTCCAAGTCCAGAGGGTCAGTCCTCCTAGTCCCTCAGCAGAGGTGCAGCCTGGGCAGGGTGTGGGCTGTGCACCGACCCTGAGAGGGGGCTCTTGCGGATGGTGGGGTAACTGTGAGGCACTGTGGGAACTGTCCTAGAATCTGCTTCTCCGCTGAGAATATCGTGACAAGGAAACTTCCATTTGCTCCTTGCTGGGGGCCAGGTAGCATGAAGAGGTTTCTTCCCCTTGGGTTTGAGAAAACCGCCCAGAGGTTTGTGCAGGCGACATGCTTGCCATTCGGCTTTCGGAACGAGTTACGTCCGCTTCCCCAGCCGGGGTGAGGCGTGGGAGTCAGGCTTCAGGACAGGGCGGGCTGTGTCTGCCACCTGAATGTCAGTCCCACCCCGGGACGTTTTGGTGTCACCTGTCAGGACACACATTTGGGGGGGGGGGATTGCTAGTCTCTGGAGTGGGCTGGGCACATTTGTGATTTGCCAAAGCATGGAATCCATTCTACAATCTTGTATTTGGCAGGGGCAGGGGGTGGGAAGAAACAGGCCCCAACAGATGGTAAACCTGGAAATAGTTCTTACAGAAACGCGGCAGACACCGAGTTTTTGCTGCAGTAATTCCCACTCTCCATGGTCACTGCTCCGGGGAGCCGCAGAATGTCTGGGTTTCTCTAAGATGGTGAAACGTTTGGCCAAGAGAGTGGCCCAAAGGCCTCTGCAGGACCCAGGGGCCCAGGAGCCCAGCGCACAGGGGCCAGGAGGAGAGGCAGGCGCTCAGTGCTCAAATTTCTGGTTGGGTGCTGCTGGCCTGCCTGCTTCCCCATGTGCTGTTGTGTGGAGGCAGAGGCAGGGCCTCTGCGTTCACCACCCTGCTCTCTATGTGGAAAGAGGAGGAGTGGACCATGTGGTCAGGCAGTGTGAGCCCATCCCGCATCCCCACCGGGTTGGGGCCAGGAGGCTCCCTTGCTCATGGAGCCGGGCCCTGGGAGGGTCCCCCAGGCTCTGCTCTGCAGGGCGTCATCCTCTCCAGACACATGCCAGCCTGTCTCCACCTGCCCTGTGCCCCCATCCAGCTCTCTGGTTATTGCTTAGTCACACTGCGCTTCTACCTGAGGGGCGGGGGGCCATGTCCCACTGCACAAACATTGCTGCACAGCTGGGGTGGGGGGAAGCAGTGCTCCTGGAGGCCTATGGCTGCTCGTTTTGCATGGACTGAAAGGTGCAGGTGGACGCGTTGGCCGCACAGCAGGCACACCGGATTACAGAGCCTGACCTGGAGCGTAAGAAAGGAAGGGAGACTGATGGGACTGAGGAGGAATGCAGCAGAGGCCACACTGAAATGACCCACGCCCAGCAAGAGCACGGCACAGCTGGGGAGCGGGGGAGGAAGGCTGTGCGAGTCATCGCCACACCTGGTCAGTGCCGCGTCAGGCCTGGAGCCGGGGCCTCATGGCCCCTCTCCGCTCCTGCTGGGACCCAGGCACCGCATCGCGAGCAGACGGAAGAGGACACCCCAGAGGCCTTGTGGTGGGAGCACCAATGGCAGCAGCAGGTGGGCCTGAGCCCCAGCCGTCACAGGAGCCAGGTCACGTGGGTTCAGGTTCCAGTAACCGGAGTACTAATTACTTAATCATGATTATTTGTCATTCTGTGCTTCAGTTTCTGCCTTGGTAAGCTGGGGATTATAGAATATTACCTACCTCTTAGAGTCATAGGGAAAAGTAAGGGAGAGAACATGTAAAACAAACACATTTAGAATGAGACTGAGCTACCAGTAGTGTTGCTATGGAGGAGGCCAGCGTTTCCATGGGAAGGCTCGTTCCGTGAACGGAAGAGTGCCCGTGTCTTCCTGAGCACAGCAGGTGGGAGAGCATCTCTCACCTGTCCGCCCCACATCACAGGGGTCACACACGCTGACTGGCCCGTCACCCCTGTAGCAGTAAGTCGAGCTCCCTTTCCTGGGAGAGGAGGCCGTGTCTTTGGGGCCACTGAGTTCTTCATACAAGACTCTGCTCACAGAGACCTTCCCTTAGGACTGATGGGTGGTGGATCTGTGATAAGTGTAGCTCTTAACACAAGTTAAATGGTCTCTAGAAGCCTCTTTATAGACCTGTAAATAAAATGCTGTATTAAAGAATCTCCATCTTAGTTGCATCTGCTGCCTTGCATGGGGCTGTGGTGGAGGGAAATGTGGGTTTCTTTACCCGTCCTGCCCAGCAGCCACGGAACAGCCTGCAGATTCGCAGGCTGTGCCCTTCAGGTCTCCGCCGTAGCTGTTGACACTTCTTTCTTTCTTAACGACAGTGCAGCAGGCAAACTAGTGTCTACTGGCCTCTGGCTGTGAGACTTACCAAGGAGACTAATATGTTTAGAACAACCAGCTCAAGAAAAATAACATATATGTCATGGATGATTAACCCTTCTTGGTGAAGTTAGGAAGCCTCCTTTTGGAGATGGAGCTCCCAGGTGCACCTTCAGCTTCTCCCCCAGCAGCTGCTCTTAGGATGATAATTCTGGGTCCGAAGTTTTCCTGACAACCATCAAGAACAGAGACATTTGTCAGGATCATCCACCTCTCAGCCTCCTGTGGAGCTGGCCTCAAAGCTCCATCTCCCTTTATTGGGCCCGTGGTCCAGGCTTTCTGTGCCGTAAAGGCAGCCGAGCACGATTATAGCAAATCAATTTGGTTCCTACTTAGTATAGATGAAGTCCTTGGAAGAAAAATACCTATGTCAGTGCGTTCTAGCGGCTCCAGAAGCATTGCACTTGCCGTGTGAGAGCTGCTGTCTGGTTTTCCCCACTGAGCCCTGTGTGCTTTGGGTTTTCCTGTCTTGTTTCCTTGACAAGCTAGCTTAGGGCTGGTTGAGTCAGCAGTAATGCAGCTGATAACCAGACCTGAAGAGCCCTGCTGCTGTGCTGAGACGTCCCAAAGTGATGCTCAGAGGTCTGCAAGGCACCGTCTTAGAGCCGCGTTACCTGGCAGTTCCCTGCTGCAGGTGAGGTGACGGACATTTTGCCATAGTGCAGCCCCACCCGTCTGCAAGTCTGCTTCCAAAGGGGGACAGGCGAGTGGTACAGGCTGTGCTGTCTGATCGCTGTGCAGCGAATGCTGCACTGTCACGGGGCCCAATCTGGTGTGTGATAAAATGCTCCCTCAGGTTGGAATTTCTCCGTTTCGTGCATTTTAACATTGTTGAGTGGCTTGATAGACGGAACCACTGCCGCCCTGCTCAGTCTGTTAAAGCATTTCAAAACCGCTGCCGCTCGTATCTCTCTCTAAGGCTTTCTGTGTTCTCCCCGGGCTGCAAGTGCTTTCTCAGCCTGCACGGAGCCTCCTCTCCTCTGGAGCGGCTGGGAGCGGCCCCCACCAGAGCCGCCTGGGACTGCAGCCGGTTTCCTGCTGCACTTCCCCCAGAGACCCAGGCGGAACAGTGAGCAGCCAGAGGGCGCAGGTCACAGCTGCCTTGGTCAGGGAAAGGCGCACAGGTGGTCTCCTGGGGTGCACCTGGCTGCCGTCCTGGCTGCAGGTGGCCTCGTGTGCATTTGGAACCAGAAATCCTCTCTATGGCCAAACACCCC